TAGATAGTCTTTAGAAGGCACTTAATTTTCAGCATTTGCATAAATCTTCTCTCCAAAGGATTTCTTCTCACCGACAATGCCTTGATAATATCAAATGTTACGAGAGACCTCCGTGGAACATTTACCTGTATTGCATACAACGGCATAGACAGAAAGGTATCTAGAAGCATCCACTTGGATGTCTACTGTAAGTGAATTTCGCAATTTTACTTTCCTGACTGATTCTACTTCAGGGATGAACAACTCTATGAGAATTAATGTCCCCTTTTTGATCTAAAAATATAAGAGCCAAACACCTTTATAATTGGTAATCATGACATGATATATATGGGTGATGCATAAGGTGAGCTATGTGCTCAGTTTGCTACACAGTCATATTTATCAAAAGGAAGTCGTGAAGAGAATTTGGTCCTAACACGTCAGCAAAGTTGCGATATGTAAAAGTAATTCAAAAACGCGCACTTTATGCAGTACCCAAATGTCTAAGTGATATTTTAGTTGCGTCTTGGTACTGCTTTTGACAATAACTTGGAAAACCTAAAGTAGCCACATCAATAAAATTTTGGATGTGCTCTCTGACCTCGAATTGACTCAACTCCAAGGTATTAATATTAATAAATTCGTGTTAAAATCACGTTGTCTGTGACAAATTTTTCATTAATTGTGGTTAGCAAAGGATCTCGGAGATACTTGACAGTTTGTGGTCTAAGTAGTTCTGTCTACGAAAACTTATTCAGCTGATGGGTCACAAATTTAAAGTAATGCTGGACTAGTAAGATGTGCCTTGGTAGTCATTTAGCGTTTGAATTTCTTAAAGATTAGTATTATTTATCATCAGCTAAGTCCAGTGCAACTTAAACAAGCCCACAAATTGACTTGTGTGAAAATCAAACGTGTAGAGCAGCATAACAGATGGGCAGTCGCAGATACCACCTGCAAGAATGCTGTACCTCGAATACGATTTCGCCTTCGGTAAAAAACAATTTTCTTTTGTTACTGTGAAACTTCGCAGCTGCTGATATTTATGGCAGATGAGAAATGCACAGATCCTAAATTCAACCTATTAATTATAGTAATTACAATTATTACCGTGTCAAGTAATTTCACTGAGTCACAATTTGTTCTGGCTAGTTCAGATGTAGCATGAGAAGAATCAATTCGTGAAGCCAAGGAACAAATATGAAAAATTATTGTAATAGTAAAATGCAATGGTATTGAATATAATGGTGCTCCCAACTTTGGTTGCTTAAATTGAATGCGAATTATTTCGGACCTTAGACTATGAGCACAACGTGCACTAAAATATTTCCAATCCACTTCATCTTCACGACTAAATATTTTTAAATTGCTAAATAAGGCGCTCAAAACAAGTCAAACTAGTAGCGGTTTGGTCTTAAACAGTAAACCTAATCAGCTATTTTAATGGCAGTTTTTACCTTTTCAATCTTAGACCAGGCCTTCTACATGTATTAGTCCGTATTTTTGGTCTAAAAGAAATCAATTTCCTGAGCATCGATTTCCTTTTAACGTCTCTTAAAACATCCACAAGGAATGTCATGGGAGCAACATTTGATCTCGCTATATATTAATATGTTCTGTGTAACTTTAACTCTACCTCACATACTAGTAAAAAAAATTTTCAAGTACTGAAATAAGTTTATTACCAATTTTACACATAAGATTCAGCCTTGAATATTCAAAGCGTTGAATGAATAAATTCCGGAACCATTGCTTTTAGGGATAATAGTAGCCACGCAACGGAGCACCTTCCACTTTCCACTAATAGACAACAACTTTCAATCCGCTTGACCCAATAGGCCGCTGTATAAAATACAGATTGCTGAATCAATTGTTACGTGGATAAACGGTCACGTTATACATTTGTGTGGGGGATCAATGGTGGTAACTAACTAGGCGAAGCGTTGGAGTGCAGTGAAGAGCAGGGACGTTATTTCCCCAATCAAGGAAGCAAAAAATTCGTTCCACTTATAAAATGTTGATCAATGCACTCAACAGGGATATTTGAGTACATTTGACATCGGACGTGCGCCTAAACCGCAATACCGCTATACATTTCGCAATAAATGACTATCCATAACGCCGAAACCACATGTGTTGTTAAAGTTAGGTGTAGGACATTTTAAACGGCACAAATTCGTGAACTAGTGGTTTCTTACAAGTCTAGAAGGCACGTAGTCAGGATGATGGCCTAGCAACAATTGTTTCATATATAAGACAGAATTCTATCAGAAAACGGTTTCTATCGGCTTTTCGTTTTTAGTTCGTCCAGTGGTGAAAATGGGCGCAGTCACAATGAACAGTCACGATGCCCGCCAAACAACCACTATTCTTGCTACGGTGGTTGGAAATCCTATATACAGTCTATACTGGGAGTTTAAACACAAGCCTATTCGTGGTGTTAGTGGTGACTGCCTCGTAACTTTGTTTGGGGACAAATATTGCGTGGTTTCAGGTAACAAGGATTTGTGGTAATTAGCTTTCTTTTAGTGTTTTTATCAATAATGAAAGGAGAGGGGAACAGTGGTATCGTAAAATCATTGTAAATTGGACAAACAGAAGCGCATCTCTAAGGTTGGATATGCATCAAATCCCATTGAAGAAAAACAACCGCGATTTTAATTCAAACACATCGTTTTTCGAAAATAGATTCCAACCTCCTTAATGTCATGTACAGTTAATAGCAATGTGTTCGACGGGAAAAACGTTTGATTTCAATATTTTTTACTTTCCGTCAATTTATTTGTAACCTGAATATTTATTCCGGGTCAACTGGTGTAGTCACATCAATAGATGTTTGAATACTTGGAAACACTTCTTTTGTTGTTAATTTCAGCCATCGGGAATTATTATATGGCATTATAAACTAAGATATTTCTTCTGTTAAACTGAAATCACTGGTGATTTTCCTATACCTTCAACTATAGAGAAGCTTTAAATTAACGTGATCCATTTAAAGTTTCCGATACACCACATCAGGCGTATGGATGAAGTAGTTCTGACTTAATAAAACCTTTAGATCGGGAGGTTACGAACCCAATGGTATTGAAGACCAAGTTAACCATTTACAACTTAACCCTTGAAGACTATGGAATTTACACCTGTGTGGTACACTCACCATTTGGAATGGAACGTGGCTCTACGGAAGTTGTCAGTAGGTTGAGTTCGATTGTGAATATATTGAATTATAGCTTCTGAAGCAATACGTATACTTTAAAGAGATAAATCACTTTACTGACCGTCTTTGTAAATTACTCTCATTTCTTACAAGATGGTCTTCAGCATTAAGGTCTATTACTTTCTTAACAGTCACCACGAGATTTAGGAAAGAAATGTAGTTTTAATAGCAAAAATAACTTTTAAAATGTGCCATTTTGTACAATCGAAGCTTAATTTATAGGAGCTTTGAAAACAAATTTAAATTAGACAGACATTGGATAGTTTCAGATCTTTTTGGTTATGACAGCTGTCAAAGTTTTTATTGGTTATTTTTCATTACCTTCTGTCTAAAATGGATTGTTACTCGCTTTGTAATGCATCTTCCATGGCAAGTACAAACTTTTATTAGTTAGAACTCAAGAATTTTCCCTTTTCTGTTATTTTAGGAATACAAGAGGATCAGTTTGAGTATCGTACGTTTGTTGAAAGTTTCGTAAATTCTGAAATATAAGAAAAGGGTAGAATAATTTGGCTAAAGAACAACAAAACAATTGTGCTAACGACGATAATATTAACTTCACGATTTATCTAAATGCAACAGATTTTGTAGCATGATCCCTACTTGGAGCATTCGCTCGAAGAATATTAGTAATGACAAAGGGAAGTGTTATTACCTTACTTCTAATTTCAGTGCGAATCTAACAATTTTTATAGATTCTATTTTTGCACATTAAATTTTGCTGTTGCTATCTGCAAGTCTTGGTATTTAAGTAAACAGATCATCTACTTCTCGTGTTAGACAATTCTGATAATCCAAAACTTATACCTTGGATTGCGATCTTGTGAACTTCTTTTTCCTATTTTAGAACGGCCAGATTCAACTAAATTTTTTCCAGACCTTTGGAAGTCATCATCAGGAAAAGATAGGGCTTTCAAATACTTATCTCGAAAGACTACAAAACCAACCACTTCTGCTAAGAAAAACGATCCCCTGTTGTTATTTTATATCATTGTCTTTCACCTGGTTTTGTTCATTAATTGAATGTGGTTTAAAGTTGTATATCTGTATCTGAAACAGATTTTCATTACACAATTAAATTAAGCACATTTTAAGATTTTTTGCTGGAATTTAAAAGCTTGTGCGTGCTTTACTTCTGGCGGTTTGTAGTTCAAATAAATTAGAATCTCTGCACGGAAGTCACAGTGAGTTTTCTTCATTTTAGTACCAATATCTCTTTAGTACCCTTTAGTAGGCAAAAAAAACTCTTTAAGCCACCATTAATTTTTTTACTTGGTGTATTTGACGTATTTTGTTTTTGGCGATGTGAGTTGTGAGATTAATCAATGACAGAGATTTGTTTTAAAGATTAACGTTGGATTTTGCACCCAACTGCGAACGAGGTTTAGCAGTGGAAAGCTGAACCGACCACTACAAATAAGACAATTTTAATGTGTAGGTGGCAGACCAGAAAAAGCTTTACACATAAATTAGGTTTTTAAATTTTGTTAAAACCTAAACGCTAAACGTATGTAATTCTGATGTTCAAAATAAGGAACCCCTCTTAAATATTAAATCCTTTGGCTATAATATTTATTGGGTGTTTTATCTAATGATCATTACAATAACTTAAGGTCAATCGGTCATGATAGTTTCATTTTACTGATTTAAAAGGAGCAATAAAATCGTATAATCTAGAATAGAGTAGAATGAACTTTTTTAATAAAATTTTGGGTTGATAAATTAATTTTAAATTAATTAAAGTTTTGTAAGATCCTTTTTCCGAACGAGTAAGTGGAAATGTAGGAATCATGCTTTGAACGAATTATTCAGTTGTAGTTGATGAGAGACAGGCCGGCATTGTGCATAAACTTCTTTCAAGGTCAGCCTGGACGTAGAATACCTTGTCCACGGAGTAGATCCATCCATCAGTGCACTGATATCCGCCATTGAACATTGAGACATTGATAGTTCCATTCACAATTGCAGCTTAAACCAAAAAGCCAATCTTGGAATTACCAACTTGTGGTTGCGCATAAATTTCGTTGATCATTTTTCTAATTTCCAATGACCACTATTCAGTCTTCGCATTTCCGAATCCGTGACTTTTAAATCATGTAAACACTCACCTAGATGACATTATACGTTTTACAGCTTATTCAACTTCTGTGAAAAGACACCAACTAGCTATTTTTGAAATAACAGTTGACTCGAATGCTCAAAATTAAAGTTCTACTGCCAGCAATGTTAGAACTGATTTCACTTATCCCTAGGTTCAAATAAGACAGCAAGCTAATAATGCGAGCTTACAATTAACGCCGGTTTCCGCTTGTAGGTCAAAGCGAACATACTCAAGAGTAAAAGCGTTGTTGGCAGTTGCCACATCATATTTCAGAGTGACATTTAGCTCATTAAGCAGTATTTGTAGTGGAAATATCATGCGCCGAAGTACCTGAAAGTAAGAAATATTCCCACTTTGGAGTTCATCTTTTCTTTGTTAACTACATTTGGTATCAAAACACATCAAAGTCAAATTTGACAGCGAAATACTTTGCCTTTACAAAGTTTATTTAACATCAACATAATGTAATCAATTTCACAACGATTTAGAAGTAATGTGTTAAACCAACTTTCAATAAAGGGTGGTTTGACCTAATTCTGACCATTTTGAAGGAGCTTAAGAAGCCCAGGGTCCACGTAAGTTACAAACCTCCCATTTTTACGAACTACAACTAACAAGACCACTCTTGCTTAATCCAAATGTCTCACCTCTTACGGGCATCATGCAGGATCTGTAAACGAGTTTGAGTATAAAAATGGTGGCATCCGTGAGACCAGTGCCTCACCAAAATGGGCTACAAAGTGGCTATGGAATTTAATTAAGATAAATACGATCATAGACTACTAACGGGTGCAAATAGATGCGATTCCAATGCACTTTTGAGGCACTTACATATGTCAGCCTATCTGGGTCCTTGAGAAGTTTTACGCCCACATTTGTGTCAGCTTCCATGTCATCGAAAGCCTTGTTATCCGAAGCGAAATAAGTGTAGGGGCCACCTTTGATTTGTTTGTCTAGGATTCCGGTTTTGACGTAGCTCCTTAACAATTAATTCAACAAGTTATTCCAGTAATATTAAAGGATGCAGCATTTTGTTAAAATGCAAAAAGATAATTTTTTAAACTATGCATCGTGAACCTGCACCTGAATGCTGAATCACCTCCGAGAAAGTTTCTCACAGTTTGCGTTGGCAGACCTGGTACGCCGGTAACGAGATAAACAACGCCGTCTGAACCGGAGCTTTCTGAATCAGCAAGGGCGACGGGCACATAGCCTCTGTTCTGCATTCTTGCCTCTACGTTTAACACTTTAAAGGCGGAAAAGTCTCTTATGTTAATTAAAATGAACACGGCAATATGTATTCAAAATTAGTCAGTTTACTTATTTAAGTAATAAATATGCGTGAAGTACTTTGCCATAAGGTTCACATAATGTTCACTTTCTGTCTCGGGAAAAGAAAAGCCTTATTTTGTTTGAAGCCAAAGGTGACTAGTCACAAAAATATTTTTGGAGCCTCACCACAGTGTTATGTTTTGAATCCGAAATACCGCATGAAAGAGACGATTGGTACGGTATTAGATATTAAATAATAACAACGAATGTTACTTATAAGAGGGCAGTTTACCTTTGCCCATGCCCGCTACACGAAGTTCATGAAGTCAGTTCCTGCATATAGAGTTGTGAGGTCTCCTATTTAAGTTTCAGATGGTAAGGCTATCATGAGCATGGCACTTTGCCTGTGTTACGGGGAGGAAACTCGCGTTTAGGTTCTCGGAAAAAGTAAACTGTGAATTTGAAAGAAGTAGAGAAGTCGGTTAGGCTCAAAAAAATAACTTCGTTTTTACATTTAAACATACCTACACACGGAATATAAAGCAGAAAGAAAGAAGTCTTAATATTGCAACGAGAGGCGTATCCTGGCACTGAGCACAATGACATGTGCCGCCAAATCAAATCAGCATTCAAACCCGCACAGTTTTCTCTGGGTTGTACGAAGTGTTGCCTTCACAGCAAAGGCATAATATTATAATCGGAGACATACAGGAAACGATACCAAAGTCAGTAGGCGTTTTAATTTACTCATTGTGTATATTTTGATTGGATTTGCGATCGGAAAGCTCTTGATTAATGAGTTGTAAATATTTTATAGGAATTAACAGGGTAAATTCAGGTCAAAGTTGTGAATGATTCTTTCATTTAAATAGATTTAAAAGAAATTGCAGCAGACAACATGCAACGCGTGAAGTTTGTTCACAAGTATAGAGGTGAATAAGTTACCATTATTTCTTGTTCGAAATCTTATTGCATCCGTGATGCTTCCCACTGTAACATATTTGTCAGTGGTCATCTGTGGTCGAAGAATTCGTTCAGGAACAATCATTAACTTCAAGTAGTCACTCTAAAAATTCAAAAATTGATTGCAATGACGGGCATTTTGAGATTAAATAAAATTAACTTTGAAAACTATCAACATGACACTCATCGATATTACTAGCGAAATCAGATGCTAACAATCCACTTAGAAGGGATAAAAATTGCAGCTGACAATGTTTTCACCAAAACAACACCGCGAGTGGTTGAAATGCCATGAAAATCTGTCGACAAAGGCGCTACAAGCTTGCAGTCCGGAAAATGTTCGATTGATACCATATCCACCACGCAATAATTGCTTAATGACTCAGAAAATAATAAAAACTAACAGACTTAGCTATATTAAAAGTCGGTAATTTGAAATAATTTTCGAAAATTAGGGTTAGAAAGGTGTTACGGCCATTTAGGCTTCATTGTAGGCAAGTGAACTACTCCAGTTAAATTAATATTTTCATACTCTATTGAATGAACTCAGATCTTCCTTAATATTTCTCCACTTTTCGTGACGATTTTGCGGAAAATTTTTGGAGATCCAGAATTCCACAAGATGACTAATCACAGGTTAGGAATTCGCCATTGTTAACACCATTCCCCTACCCATGCCACTTCAGCAGGTATCACTATGGCAACCTACTGACAGCTCATCTGTATTAATCCGTCCTGATCCCTCAGGTCTATAACCGGGCGCATTAAGACAGATTGCTCGGCCTTTGGCTGAGACGTTAGAAGCTCTCTGCACGAAGTCTTGCCTTGTCTTACATCAGCGTGAGAAGGTGGGGTCTGGCGTCAGAAAAGGTATTTAGAAAACCGGTTATCTAAATGCATGACTCTTGATTAAGGCCAAAACCTAACAAAAACATTACTACTATTTCGAAAATCTCAACACTAAAAACTTGAGGAAAAAACAACTTGAAGTGGTACTTTTATCTCAAATTACAGGAGTAATCGTAACCCTCTTACCTGGTTATTTGCTGAAAGAGAGTTGAAATGAGACCAATCGACTGGTGCAAAGACAGTTTTCTCTGTTGTGGACTGCAAGATAGTGTTGCAAGCCGTGTCAAGCGTGCATACTCGGAGGAAGGTCCTGTTGCAGTTTGATTATTATTAAATCGAATTTCGGTCTTTTGACAAGATTAAATCAAACAGGTAAGTAATACAATATCTCGCATAAACTTTTTATTTCAAACCTATGCACTGGTACTAAGTGATCCTGTCCGAATTTAGACGTCTGTTATTTTGAAGCTAATTGTTCAGTCCTAGACAGGGATTATAAACAACTATTGCACCGTTTGTAATAATGAATGCGGGTAAAGGCATCGTGGTGGCTGCCTTTGTGATCCATTGCGTCTGTCCCTAAACCAATTTATGGTAGATGGCCCCATCCTTAAAGGTATCGCTTTTTGTATGAAATGATTGGTTTTAAACACCATGCATTTTAATTCTATCGCATCGTGTAAAGTCACACAAGAGTGGCGACTGTTTGCATGAGATATATCTACGGAGGTCTGGGTAAGCTAGAGGTTTGTGTTCAAGTTTGAATGCCTGAATAAATCATAACTACTTTGGAAAAAGAAACCAAATGCTAGGAGATAGTATAATTGAATTCGTTAGCATGCATAAATCTGAGATTCGAAACAGATAAGTGGATAAACTTACGGAGATAGACGAGCTAAAGCATCTTGCGTTGTTTCGTGTAGATATCCAATAGGAGCAGTCACAGGTATGAGAACGGCGTTTCTTAAGGCCACTGCTGGCCCTGCCGTTTGAGCGTATGAGCCCTTTACTGTAATTGTCACTGGAGCTACGATGAAAACACAAACACTTAATATTTAAGGAAACGACTGCTTTTAGGTGTAGATTCATAAAATTAGGTTTTAACAAAACAGGAACGTGTTTTAGGAATGATTACGGCGTCAATGTAACTGGACTGCACAAACAGACAGCAAGCCCATTCCATAAGTTCAACTTGCATCAAGTCAACTGCAGGATTTGGCTTTCGATATCAGTTAGAAATTTTGCACTCTTCTGACCTCTCAATTAAACTGGCAGAGTAATCGTAGAAGTCACTTCAACCGCCATTAATGGATCGGACATTCACCGTGAAATAAAAAGTGAGTAAATATACTTCGTCGTGATTTGCGAAGACCACTTACAGTACATACAGCTTACTATCGCTCCATGTTTTAAATTTGAGTTTCGGCTTAGGCTTTACTATCATACTTACTACTGCCATTTAGTGAAACCATAGACATTAACCAAATTGTTCGACTAGGAGAAAAATTATTACCTCAACGTTCCTAGCCTGTGCGTTTACCGATACAAATTAAGTTCACCAAATAACAAAGCTAACCAGACACTTGCTCTTGTTCCCTTATAAGTATGATTAGGTCTTTATAATACAAAAAACGCTTTGAAGCTAGTAATGCTTACCACCCTCGCCCGAACCAGCCATTTCCCCGGGAGTAAGTGATCCTGTATTTACGGCTGTTGGAAGTGGATCCTGGGGGAACCCAACATAAAATTTTATCGCACGACTCCCTGAACCCTCAGTCCATCTAGGGTAAAAGATTTGATTTGGAGCGTAGTGGTTTGCTAACACCTGTTGGGATGAAAAACGAAACAGAGAATGCGTAACATAGAGTAGGATTATTAAAACACAGATTGGTCGAAAGAATGGGTCATCTCACACACGAAAAGCAGATTACTACCTTCTTACACATGCTATACGAATGTCTTTCTCCTAACTCGGGTGTTTGAGCTCATGACCTAGAAATGCGCATGAACAAATGCGACACACAACTACGGTCGTAATAAACGGTTGACTCCACCGTCTTTGGCCTCCTCAATTTTCTCCAGTTAATTCGTGTCTTCTCGTGTAGCAAGACACGCAGTGGTTTGCACATGATCGCGTGCAGCTTTTCGCCATTAGACTTCGTGACTGAAGAGTAATACTACAATTCCACCGTGTCAGTGCTCATTGCAGACATGTTATGGCAATGCACCCTCTTACTCGTCACCACTCACGCTAATCATGAGAGTCCTGTTGTTAAGGAGATCCTGATATGTTTTTGTAGGTAGCTTATTCCACACAGAGTCCGGGACCACAAAGTAGGTGGCAAATAAAGTTGTTCCCATGTAAACCTGGTTTGTCAACTGTGTGTAAAGAGGCATTCCCGTAATTCGAAGCTCATTCCACAGTGTGAGCGTTTTTCTACATATTCGGAAAGAAAACACAAAATTTTATTAACTTTCCTATTGATTGTAAAGGCATCAGAATTCCCCACTAGGCGAAGACATGACGAGTCACTCACCTGTTGTTTTCGGCATTCAAAATTACTCAGAGGGTAAGAATGTGCAACATATTTTTGGCCTATCTTATTCGTTAGATAAAATACCTGTTTGGTCGAAATGTCGGACCCGGTTTTCTAAGATGAATTAGTGCGAAGACCTTGAAAACTGTGAATGAAATATGCGCTAAAATGGGTTACCTTTAAAGAGAATACTTTATAAACCACCTCAAACATGCTAAATTGAAAGTACAAAGTCAGATTTTGGGCACTAACAACGCAGATGGTCGATCGAGGGGACAAAATACTTTATTCGACAGGTCTGTTCGATTCTGGTTTGCAGGACAGTGCCAACGAAAAACATACCAGAGCTGTTGGCGCGAACACTCCACATTTGCAGACTGGCTTCAATAGTTATAGGCAAAATGACTGGAATAAACTAAAACCCACACAGACAACAATAACGTTTTGGATTTTAAACACAAATGCGGACTTAAACCAGCCAAGAAGTGAAATAAACATCAAGACTAGGTTCGTTTCGTAGAGGAAGATAAAAAAAATCAAGACAAGTGACTCCATGCTGAACCCCCATTTTATCTCGGGCGGCATTCCGGTTCGGATTTCTTTTCTTGATTCTGAATGAAAGTTTGTCCGCGTAAAGTAAATTAGATTGACCTTCCAAAAGCTCAACAACCTTCCTGATTTTTCGTTTATTTTGATGACCTAGTCTTGACCAGAACCCACTTTCTTTATGAGTCTTCTAGCAAATTTAGATTCGCAAGCATTTAAATTCTAGACACTAAATAAAATATGGTCATCTTCGTATTTTGATGTTTTACTCTGCGTCCACAACGTCTCCTCCATGAACATGTCGCAGTGGCCTGAGTTATTTTCTTTGTTCTCAATAACATTCCATTTTTTTTTATTTTTAAACAGGGTTCACTCAGGCGCGATCGCTGTTAATCCACTACACGTCCACTTAGGTTAGCCACTGCAACATTATACTGCTTTTGTTATTCTATGCATACTATTGCCAAACTTTATTGCCAGGATACCTATAACTAGACGCATATATGTGCATACCATTCTTCAAGAATTGCTTACAACTGAATCTACGTTTAAGAAGTTAAGAATCATTAAGTACACCAGTTATCTAAACACATAAACTTACGTCAGCTCTTGTGCCTGACTCAAGTATTGATAAAAGTCCATTGATTCATAAGGGTAGTTCACCACTTTGTCCATGATTTGAATCATTCCGTTTGACGCATCCAGGTCTTTTGTTATTACCTTGGCATCATTTATATAGTATACTCCTGGTGTTTCCGTCTAAAAAAAATAGATTGAAAATTTCTTAGACACTGCGATCATATTTTATTGTTGTTTACACAACTCACAACTGAAAAAGCATAGCGCGGACCGACAATTTCGTTATAAAGCGCACCCTTGCCAAAGCCGACGTCTATCAAGGGCAACGACTCTCCAGCAAGTTGCCAGTTTAATGTAGAAAGTTTCGTTGGAATCGAACCGGTTTTTGGACCTAATGTTAACAAAACATGAGAATTAGAAGTTCTTCACGAAGACGAAGGCGTTTGGTTGACAGGTGTCAGCATTAACAATATCAGCTAATGGTTTGGCACTTGGACCTGTCATCATACCTCGTTTTTTACAGATTTATATTACCTCGTACATAACAAGTTAAATGCTTCCTAAAAAGCGTGATTGCAGATGTAGACAGCAATCAAATGACCTCCTCGGAACGGACTCCTAAAAAATGCCAACTAACTTAAATTACTACAGTTGCGGTGGTTTTCGGTAAGACGGCAATTAAGTGCATTTAAGTTAGGTGGTGCAAATAGAAAATTAATGCAAATGCAAGCAGATATAGGAAAAAGATGCTCACTTTCGAGGTACTGGCCAAATATGATTTTCTGTTTCTCTTCAATCGACAGGGTTGACCAAGAGAGACTGGCCGCTCGTTGGCTCCAAGCAGCGTTGTTTGGAGCAAGAACGGTAATGCATTCTCCCGCAGCGGCACATTTTGAAGTATTTATTGCCGTTATCCGTGAGTCCAGCAAGTGTTCCCAAAACTAACAAGAAAATTGGGCCTTTAATAATGAGGCAGGCCAGTAAATCACAAAATCTTGCCAACCCCAACTGCGAATTGGCTCATGTTTTTATGGTCTGTTGGCATTGAAGTTTTAAAACATTAGCTCTCTAGGCAGCCAAGAGTTATACCCAACACCAATAGTTAGGTCGGTGTCTAAATGTGTTCCTTCATTTTGCGAGACAATTCCATCTAAAATGACCTTTTAAATTGCAAGGCACCTGGTTTTTCAGTAGTTCCCGAATTGAAATGATCACGAAAAGGTGGCATTCGATTTAAGTCCTAGTAATTATGCTTGTCTTTACGTATTGACTAGTATTAGCAACTGATTAGCACGTAATTTTCGAAAATGAGCTAATTCTTGTATTTTGCGGGTTTTCACAACATTTCATGTCATATTTGAAACCACTGACTAAACACGTTTGTTTTTCAGATTTATTAAAAGCCTTTAATTTGGTTTGTCACGACCTGCAAATTCTTGACAGACCACATAAAAGAAATTGAGCAATTTGCACCACGGGCCTCGCAGACATAAGACGGATTTAAGCGTTTCGTTTGGCCATGTGTGGTTATTATCAAGGTACAGAGAGGAGTTACATGCATCATATATTAATTTGCAAACATTAAACAATAAGCATTGAGCGCTAAGCTAGATGGTTCTGTTAAATATGAAAACGATCACGAGAGCACACTCCTTGACAATGAGCCTAATATATTGCTAATAATAATATTAACACATACTTATTTGGTGTACAGAGGAAGTAGACTCAAGTGAAATTATGTAATTGAAGGAGGAGAATTCACTGTTTTGCTTCAACTATAAGGAATAGTTTATACTAATTGAAGGATTTTCATCTGAGGAATAAAGTGCAATTGGCTGATGCATTTGCTCCAAACTTAGGGTGGAGAGTATGTGTAAGCAATTGAATTCCATTTAGCAAATAGTTTGAATGTTTCCATACACTTGACTAACTTCCCTACACTTTGACTTAAACGATAATGCTGATACTTAACACAACCACAACTAGGATGGGATTAATTAGTACTCTTCTGCCAGGCTAATTAACCAATTTCGAATTAAAGGGTATTAAACGTAATAAGAAATGTCTGTTAAAATGAATGCATTCTGCACCAAGGACTCTCATGAATACCGTATAATGGCCATCGGCCATGAAAATATCGACGAAACGCTCTTAGCAGGTGAAGCGAAATGGGGCTGTTATTTGCCGACGGGCCTGGCACGTCTGCTTGAAATGTTTGTGCTCTTGAAACCCATTGGTCGGTTAACTTGATTAGCATTACTAAACAGTTAGTGTTTGAATGTGCATTCTAAAGAATAGGCGATATTCAGAGGCAATGAATAATCTACAGTCCTTACCACTAAATGAGCTCGTAATCAATCTATTCATGAAGAAATCATATCTTGGCTATATTCAATATCTTTAGGAGTTACAAGCTGATTCACACTGAATGAAGGAATAAGCTCTACACTTTTTTGCTTCCTTGATGACTCACTATACAAACTAGAAATGTTGATTTATAAGGGTACAGCAAGAGCACGGCTTACCATTGAAACATCTGAAGTAGATCCAAGAATCTCTTGCAATGTCCCTGGGGGAGTTGCTCGTCCATCTTTTCCAAATGAGGACATAACTAGCAAAAGGCATCCGATGCACACGAAAGTCACCATCACGAACTGCCGGTGATGTTCCCTGAAAGCCGCGTTTGTCAGTGCTGACGCTCAGCGTACACGCCTTAGCACGCGTTTCACCTGAGTCACCTCCGCTCTAGGACCAATAGTGAACGACAAAAACAATAAAATGCGTGCGTGCTCGTGGATGCTCAGCGGACGACTGCCGTTTTCAGTGGATGCCAGTGCTGTTGCCATAGTAATTAGAATGTGTATGTGCGTAGTTTACTTAAGATGAATCAACGTAACTATAATTAGGTGCACTTTATGAAGTTATGATAAGAAAACTCTACAAACCTTTAAAAAATACTATTTTGCATAGAACTATCCTGATAACAGTTAGGGATGTTAATAATTCAATCATTTACTAAATATCTCAGTAACTATGACACTTGATTGAAGATAGACACCTAAGTTATAAAATTTTAGATTTAAAAGCGTACCATATAACTTAGTTTAGCCATATTTGGAAATCAACTTGACACACTAATCCTTCCCAAAAATACGTTAGACCGCCAATAGTTTTGTATTCTATGATTCCACTAACCGTTTGGAAATGGTTATGACAATTTCTGAGAGGTTAGCTTTGATTTGAATAAAAAATTATGGTTATTGCTATGACAGCAAATAACAGTTAAGCCTTCTAGTCCGTTAACATGTGATTGCGATTCTGGACCTGCACGAGTTTTCCTAATACTTGGCTAATAAGCCCTCGTGTCCCCGACGAACGCAACCACTTTATTTTTGACTGTGCTGATTGGTGTTCATCGTCGAATTTTTCACGACTCTACTGTTAATAATGAGTGGCCCGCTTTGACCTGACGAACGTCATTTCAAAGCTTCTGGTCTTTAACTTCAAACCACGAACAACTCCTTTACTGCAACGCAAGACCGAAGGTTATTCACCTTAGATCTATGCCTAAGGGAATAATTCGCCTTTATTTTTATCTTGGCTGATTTTTTTCACCATTTCATTCTACTGGTTGATATGGCACAGCGGCAACTTATAAACTCAAAGCCAATACTATCTGCTTTAATAAATTTAAATGGACTCCATCTGGCATAGCCCGATCCAAGCAGGTATATAAACTTTTGAAGGAGTTCTCCAAATTATCAAAGTGGCTCAGGAGCCACACGAACGTGCTCACCAAGTCATTCACCATACCATGACAAAGGGTCCTCCAACGACCGCCAAGGACAGACGACCTGTACCTCGTAAACTCGGAGTAGCCAGAGCTGTGATTGAACATATGTGCCGTATTGGCATAATCCGCCCCTCCAAATGCCCATGGGTGGCCCCTATACACACGATACCTACGAAATCCGGAGACTGGAAACCCTGTGATTACTGAGCCCTTGATAGCGTAACAGTTCCTGCTCGGTACCCCATTTCTCATATCCATTATTTTTCATTAAGTTTAAACGGTGCTAGTCTTTTTAAGACTTGAAATACTCCGGGCCTACCATCGAATTCTCTTGGCCCTAAAACTGCCATTATTGCCCCCTTTGGCCCTTCGAGTTCCTACGAGTACTTTTCACTTTCGGCAACGCGGACAAACCTTATAGAGATTCATAGATCGAGTTCTGCGGTCTTGACTTCGAATTTATCTATATTGATGATATTCTCACCGCTAACGGAAAAAAATAGCGAACACTTGCTGCACTCTAGGACAAGCTTTTACGCGTCTTAAAGCTCATGGCGTCACAATTAACCCTGCAGAATGTATTTTTGGAATGGACAGTTTTGAGTTCGTTGGATACCTAATTGATTGCAGAGGGTATCAGACCCCTGACAAAGAAAACCACAGAAACCCAGGAGTATCTAATGCCAGGCTCATCCAGTAGTTTAAATACTATGTACGATTCATTCCACATGCCCATAGAATTTTGCATCCACTGACTGACTTACTTCAAAAGAATAATAAAAAGCTGACGCTTACTCAGAAGGCTGAAGCTGATTTTCAAGATATAAAAGATGGAATAATAGATCTCACAAAACAGAATTATCGTATGCAATGTGAAACGTTCAAAATTGATTACTTTTCTTTGGTTGTTTGCGTGTCTATCCGTCTTAATGATGGCGCTGTTGTAAGCTTTTATTTTTAGATTTTACGAATTGCATGGTTTGCGATTATAGAGCCTTACTGTAATGCTAAAAGTAGGTAGGTCTACTATTCTCATATTCATCGATAAGTTATAAAGTAACATTAATATTATCCAAACCTCTCTGATCTCGGTGCATTTATTTTGCTGAATAAAATTCATATTTGGCATACCGACAACGTAAGGTTCCAAAAATAGGACTGAGCAAGTGCACGATATTTCTTCTTGTTTATCATTAGAATCGTCAAATACTGCACTAGGCTCACTTTATGCACATGACTTAAACGGAAACAAATTAAGAAAAGACTTTGAGTAAATGTTCCCTTTCCATTGAAAAGAGCAGATTTTAATTTAAAATTATACCTAGCCTAAACAAAGAAGTTAAAATAATTACTAATACCATGCATTAAGCTTGGGATTTGGTTCAAATTATTTTTTTTGCGTTTTCGGAACTCATCGCTAATTTTTACATGAAAACAGTACTAATTCAGGTCAAGAAGTCTGATGCAAATCCCCAGTTAGAGCGTGACACACCCATTGAACTTCTTCCGACTAATATTTGGAAACAACTCTAGCAGCCACATCAAATGCATCCACGATTATAGTATCAGCATATTTTCAGACTGAACATATTTACCACCATGTACAAGCCATTTCACGCTTTTTCAACACACTTTGTATAAAA